GGCTCCTGTCCCTGAAACATATACAGGAGCAAGCCTCCTGGAAGGGCAAGGCCCTGGGGACAGAGTTCAAGGACTCCTGTCCCCGAAGCAAACACAAGAGCGTGCCTCTTGAATGGGCGAGCAGCCCCGAAGACAGTTCCAAAAAAAAAAAAAAAACAAAACACTACTGTACGCGCAAAAAAATACTCATGATTTATTTCAAGAAGAGGGGCTTTGCGTCCCCAAAGGCTACAAAAGAAAAAAAAAGGTACAATCAAAAAGAAAAAGGGGCTTTCATCTGGCCCCGGGCATCTCCACAACATCAGCCGAGGGCGAGTCAGCATAAAAAGGTTGAGAAGCTTCTGGAGCAGGCAGAAGGAGAGGTACTTCGGCAACAGGGAGACCTTGAGCAACATGAGGATCAGGAGCATGGTCCGGCGGGGCGTCCTCGGACAAGTCCACTATCACTGCCTCGGGCGGATCCGCCGAGACTTGCACCGGCGTTGGGATCTCATCCTCGGCAGCAATCTCTGCTTCGGCCCGTTCCATCTCTGCCGAGGGCACGTACTTGTGCATCTGGAAGAGCGGGGAGTCTGACGGGATTCCAGCAGACTGGAGCGCCTCGTCCCACCCTTTCTTGAAGAACTCCTTGCTGTTTTCCTCAAGAGCAGGGAGCACGTCATCGGCGAACTCTTCCCGGAGTTGCTCCTCCGATTTCTGTTCAGTGCCTCGGCTCTGATCCTGTCCAGCTCCTGGGTGAGAGCCAGACAGCTTTCCTCTGAGCCAACCGCCCTCTCCTCCGCGTCTGCTCGGTATCCTCCCCTCAGCATCGGCAAGGGCAGCACTTAGCTTTTCAGCGCCAACCTTAGCCGACTCGGCATCCTTGAGGAGTTGTTCGATTTGAGCAGCCTGCCCCGCCAGGGTAGAATCCCTGGCAGCTACGTCCTCCATTGCTCGGGCGAGGGCCCCCTCCGCCTCTTCCTTCTGCTCTCGGGCCCGCTGGAGGTCCATCCTAGACCCATGGTACCGCGCAGCTATTATGGAGATCTGTTGGGTAGCCTGCAAAGGAGGGAAAAAGGCATGTCACAAAAATGGAAAGCGAGAGAGAAGAAACCAAAGCAAAAATGAACTTACCACCAGGGAATTCTGGATGATAGAGCGAAACAACACGTTCGTTGATCGCCCCCTGTGAGCCGCCATGTCAGCCTCGAAATGCAGTGTCTCACTCACTGCATTGGCGACATGAGGATCCAGCAAAATGGAATCATCGACCCTGATCACTCGGTTCATGTGATCGGTGGCTCGGGGATTCCACTCCGCGGCTTCCACTGTCGGCGGAAGGGAAGGGGGAGTCTGCTGCTGCTGTTGTTGCTGTTGTCGTTGCTGTTGTGTTGCTGCTGTTGCGGAGGAGCAGGGGGTAACCCACGGCCTCTCCCGCTTTGCTGCTGAGCGGGAGATGCCCTGGATCCTCTGCCGAGGCCATCGTGCCTATGCTTGACCCTTCTCTCCTCCTCTACCTGAGGATCCCGGTCACGCACTTGACCCCGACTGAGAACTCTTGAGGATGGGGTGGAACTGGTCCCTGCAGATGGGGCACCGCCGGTCGATCCTCGACCCCTCCCGGCAGCAAGGGCTTGCCTCTGCCTCAGGAACCCAGGTCAATGCGAGGCGTGCTGGACATCGCGACCTCGAGGGCGTCCTCGGCGTCTAGAGATTGTAGAACTTGGAAGTCCGGCCACAAATCTCCTCCCGAAGTCCCCACCTCGGCGTCCGAAGGAACAAAGTCCTCTCTGACCCCGAGCTCTTCAACTACTCCCTCTACTTCTGCCTCCGAAGCCCGATCAGGGTCTTCTTCCAAGTTTTCCTCGACCTCTAGCCTCGCCGCCTGATCGAAGAGTTCAGACCACCGCGAAGGCTCAAAAGGTTGAGGAAGCTGTGAAAATTTCTTATACCCGGGGGTATAATTCAGCAGGATGTGGGCAGCCCGGCCGAACCCGTTGTCACCAGTAAATCTCCAAACCGTGATTAGGTCGGCAAAGTTCACCAGCGACCGAGGGGGAGGAGCTGTTTCCCGAGCAGGAATATCTGCACAAACAAAAAAGTAGTCATGAACATGGGAAATCTGGAGAAATAAGTAATAAACCCGAAGGAACCGACGTATTTTTCGTTCTCCATTCCAGAGGGCATAACAAGCCGTTATACTCGGGACCAATACCTCTCTGCCAAGATCCCTTGAAAATAAGAATATCGTCCTTGTACCCCTTGTCCGAGTCGGGAAGATGAGTTACAAGGTACATGGAGGGGTCCTTGGCTTTGAGGTAGAAGTGTTGATGAGGCATGACTCTCAGGAGGGAATAACAAAAAAGGAGATCGTTCAACCTAATATTTATCCCGAGGTGCCTATTGAGCTCTAAGACCCCCATAATTATTCTGAAGACATTAAGGCAACACTGCCCGGGAAGAGGCGGAAGTGAGAGAGGAACTAAAGAAGTAAAGGGGGTAAAGGAAACCTAATTCCTTCCTCTATTATGGCCTTAGTATAAAAAGGCATAGCATCCTCGGCCCCGAGGGTAGGAGAGTACACCACCGGGTCATAATCCTCAATGTCTACGCACGGGGGAATGCCGTACTTGACCTTAAACCTATTAATCTGTTCACCACCCTTTACTTTATACTTCCTCGACCCCGAAGAAACAGCCTGAGGATTCTCGGGAGCAGGGCGACGACGAGGCATCTCTAAGAAAGTGAGAAAGTGGAGGGTGTTTTTTTCTTAAAAATCCCAGAGGAAGCTTCCCGAGGATTAGTCGCTAAGTATCAACCGGAGACACCTCCAGTCATCGGAAAACAAAAAAGGGATAGGAGGAAGAAAAGAAGAAAGAAACTAGGACTCACCTGAATGTCAAACAGAGTTTTTTCTGGAAAACTTTAGGCGATTCCTTCCAGAAATTTCAGAAGCAACGATGGGTCTGCTGGCCTTAAGACTTTAAGGAAGAATGGGCAGTCGACGATGGAAGATGAAAGAGATCTCCGGCGAAGATTCAGGAAAAGGCTCTGTTGAGGAAGTTCAGAATGGCGAAACAACAAAATGCAATAGGAGCCCCATTTATATAGTGGCAGTTTCATCATTGGGCATGAAAAACAAAAATGGCGCATTTAATGCACACGACATCCTAAGCCGGGAAAGCGGCTCGAGGTAATGATGAAGCATTGGTGGTTGTTGGGAAACCCTTCGTCTCCTTACGACGTGTGCCCTCGGTGTCAGAAGATCGAAGGCTAGGGGGCAGTTGATGGGACTTTTCTGAAATACTCCATGATGAAGACACGTGTCCTCGGTATTTACCAAAACACTGTTGCTAAGATCAAGCACCATCGGCGCGCAAGGTCCTCGCCCCCGAGGTACTCGTCATATAGGATCATGGCATTCAGTACGTTTTACAACCAACACGTAGCCTCGGTCTGATATGGTACCTCGGTCGGTATCCCTCCCTCGATTCCGAGATGAGCCTTTCCTCAGTGCCGAGGTGTACCCCGTCCTGGACGCCTCCTCTACTCCAGGATAAGCTATTGACGTACAGATCATTAGCCTAGGCTAGTCTAGGCTATTCATCATGACCTCATCTTACACAATTAGTGTCAGAACGTACAAGAATACAGGGGCCACAGCCAATGGGGGATGGACGCGTGGCATATGATATCACATCGAAGACAGAGAAACCGCATGCCGTTGCTGACACGCGACTTGGGAAAGCAAACAATTAATTACACCATTCCCTTGATGAGATCGCATTCAATGCGGTAAGGCTCGGAAATGAAAGGCAATAAATGCTCCTAATACAGAGCATTTATTGCATCCTCCCCGAGAGGAGTACATTGTACCGTCGGCATCCCGATGACCCAGCATTGATTGCTCGGGACCCCGAGCAGTTAAGAAGAGAAGACATTACTCATCAGAATCAGTGCGCACACTGCCTGTACCTAATGATCACCTACTGACTACACTGACAGCAATCATGAGCTTTTGAGGTATAAATACTCATTGCAAAAGGCAAGACGGGTATGCAACAAAAAACTCTTTACTACAATAACACTCAGTGTTTTCTCCTTCCTCTCTCTCTCTCAAAGACTGACTAGATCGTCGGAGGGGATACGCCAGAAAACACTCCGGCGCCCTTCTAACTTGTTCTTCTTTGTTTCAGGAACCTCTTTCAGCCTTACTGGATCGTTCTTCCGCTCCCCCAGGGTCTCCCGTTGCCGTTCCAGGTTACAACCGGACCTCGCAGGCTGTTCCAAGCAGCGTGGTTGGTCACTCAACTGGCTCACTCGAGTTCACCAAGGGAGAGATCTGTTCTCGTTTTTTATATTGTGCAGGATCTTGCACGCACAGTTATGTAGATTTATATTGAGGCCTATGAATCATGATTCAAGAGAATCTCAAACTGTATGTCAAGATGGTTTATATGGTCTGTTGGGCGCCATTAGAATTTTTAATTGGGTTTGAAGATGTCAGGCAATGAATCAGTTAGAGCATCATGACCTATTTATGTTGTACAGATAGTTTGATAATGGGAAAGATTGGTACTGCATTTCTGGAAGGGACTTGTATATTTCAGGTCATGGTATTTTTGAGTTGAGAAGTTTGAATCTTGTCCTCCTTTTTTGGTATCCAGGAGTCCCTCTGCCTGCATTGCTTCAAGTATCTGTTTAAGAGCTCTGAGATCCTTGCCAGATTGTGTGAATTCAAGATCTTTTAATCTTTTCTCAATCTCACTGTAAACAGAAGGGAAAGGGTTAGGTGCCCTTGCTGGAGCTTTCAGATGTCTGGAAGCTGGCTTTGGAGGACCCCGAGTCCCATCAAGCTGCCTCATGGTGCTGGTTCAATAGGGAATCTTGACATGGGTTTCATGACAGAATCCGGATTTTTCCAACGAGGAGAAGTTGGTTCCTTCCACAGGTTCTTCGAGGAAGCAGATATTTGGATTGGTCTGCACGGATCACTTGTTTTTGAAGACATTGGGTAGTGATCAGAATGCTCCAATGCAGGTTTTTGCTGAACCAATATTACTGTCGGTGGTTGAGGCAGACTCTGGCAATGCTTCCAAGCCCATTAACTTTGCTACAACACTGGGAGATCGTGCCTGGGTTCCTGATGTTTGCTGTGAACTTGAAACCTTGCCACTAGAATTGACTTCCTCTGAATTTCTCGAAAGAAAGCTAGATTTTGATTCCGAATTAAAACTCCTCATTGAATTTTGTCTACTGTCCAAAGAAAGTCTTGGTAGCTCTTTAAGCTTTAGAGTGAATTTGTATCCGTCCCGTGATTCAAAAACGATGTCGTTTTTGGTAGAACTGTTTAAAAAAAAGATTACATAAAGCACCCAAACGGCACTGTACCACTTAACCGCATGTAATGCGGTTTCTTCCTTACCGTGGAGAAGCCGCTCCCGGGCTTGGCTCCTCTGCAGTTAGAGACTAACAGCACGTTGTACTGTTAGTTTATACGACATCGTTCCATTAAAAAGTCACAACACAGTTGCTCTCTCGCAAACAACATAGTCAAAATTAGTGAGGCAGAGAGGCTTCAAGCCCCAACCACAAATCTCTGTCCAAAATCAACCATTGACAGACTCCAGTGCTGGCAATAGTGAATACGAAGCTCCAATTCAAATTCTCTTGTGGACATTAAGACTCATATTTTTTGGAAGGATCAAGACTTAGGTTTGATTTCAAACTAAAATCATCTTCATATCAGTAGATCAAGAAGGAACAATTATGTATGTTTTTGAAACTAATAATGCAAAATCGTTAGTGATGGATATAATTCAGACAACGGAGCACAGAGTCTAAACCTCGGACATCCCTTCTCGGCATCCATGGGGATATCCAAATTCATCAGTCATCACATGCATGATCCCGAATAAGGAAAAGTCTAACACATGGCGTCATATACCTGACATCCCACATGGGCTTCAAGATAGCTGACACACGTCAATAACTAAAATTCTTGCATGGGAATAACGTCATACACACTAAAATCAGGAAAGATTACCCTTAATTATTACTGTTTAAGTCAATGTCACACTCAACCTACACTATAAAAACCTTCTTAAATGAAGAGTTAAGGTAGGTAACAATTGAAAAATAATACTCTCTCTCTCTCTCTCTATCTCCATAAACGCCTTATTTTCTATAAGTTATTTTGGTTAATAACATGCAAAACTAACTTGGGCAATCGGAGGTGGTTTGGTTGGGACCACAACGATCTCTTACTCTTGAATTCCCTTGATAGGACCAGAGCCGTACTGTTGCTGCATCTCGAGCACCGACCTCACAACTCCATGACTACCGGTCAATATACTGTTTTGATTTAGTGATTGTTCCATCAATTGGTGTTGTTTGTGGGAAATGACTTTTATCATTTTTCAATCTCTCCCAAATTGAATATTCCAACCTCTTCACAATAATTGAACCATGGCCACTCTACAGGCAAGAGAAAAAATGACCCGATTTGCAAGAACGCCTAAAACATTAACCTTTCTAAAAATCAACCTGACCGAGCCTTAGTTAAGCCTATACAAGGTGAGGTCGTCACCTTGACCCAACAAGTGAAGGAGATGGTTGAAGTCCTCAAAGTTGTCCTCCAACAACAATATCAACCACTCATTCCTCCGATCTGAGCTCAATTAGGGGATCTAAAATATGCTCTTAATAACAAAGCTGAAACCACCACCAAAAGGTAACAAACTCCTTTCACCCTAGCCATTGTCGTCTGTCCTTTACCACATGGTTTTTCAAATGCCCCATGTTGAAAGTTTTGAGGGGGCAAGGGCCCAATGGATCACCTCCAAAAGTTCAAGGACCTGATGACGTTACATGTCTTTCCAGACGAGATCATGTACCAAGCATTCCCAACCACATCTATGGGGAATGCTTGCATGTGGTTTAGTAAATTGAAATCTGGTACTATCTCCAACTTCTCCCAGTTAGGCCAGTCTTTTATGTCACACTTCGCTTGAGGGCAAAAACATCGAAAAACAACCACCTATCTTCTGAATATTAAATAATAAGAAAGTGAGTCTCTTAAAAATTATGTCACTCATTTCATTAATGAGGCCTTGCAAGTAAAGGACCTTGAGGATCGGGTCTCCCTCATAGCCTTTTTGGGGGAATCAGTACCCCAACCTTGTTTATTCCCTACTAAAATCACCACCCAAAACCATAACCGACCTACTCCTCAAAGCCTAGAAACCATGAATGTAGAAGACACAATCAACGCCCGACATGGGTCTTTCTCTATTAGTCAACCCGAGAAAAAGAGAGTCAAGTCATCCAAAAAAGCTGTCCAGCCAGACCCAAAAAAAAAAAAAATCCAGAAGAGGGAACTCACAAGAAGGGACTGAAAACGTCCCACATTCTGGACACTGAAGCATGATCTTTGGAGTGTCCCCCCTTTGAGCTGAACTCCCAATCTCTAAACAAGAAGAAGTTTCAAGGCTTTCAATTCTTGTTCGAATCAGGGAGACCTAATGTAAGCTTGGCTATCCTAGGATGGGTACTCAAATAGAAATATCCTTTATGGGTACACTCTTTTACTTTGTAACGGTAAACAAACTCCGCTAAAGTAATTGAGTGATGCCCCCATTACTCAATCTCCATAAAAGCCATCAAACTGATAAGGGTCTTATAGGCATTAGGAACCACCTGACAAGGAGACATAACCAACCAGGACAACACATACCTAATAAAAGAAGGAATTGAGAACTAAAGACTGGCCTGAAGAGCTAACTTAAGAAAACATACCGCACCATACAAAGGGGTACAAGCTTTTTCACGAGTAGAGGGTAACCTTTCCTTCATGAAATCATGTAAGTTATATCGATGTCTTACAAACCCTATAGTGTCCTAAGTATATCGTCACTCAATTTCATGGGCCTCCCAAAGAGAAAACCTATCGAAGGAAGGGGAAAAAGTAATCACCTAAATTTGAGAACCGTCTAAAAGTAATCACCTAAATTTGAGAGTTTCAAGAGGAGGCTTACCAGAAGGTTCTGGGGGTTATATGGGCTAACAACACTCTCTGGCTTACTGTCACTATATACCAAAATAGGCTTGACGTTCATAAAGAAGAAAAGAAAATAGAAGAATGAAGCAATACTAGAAGTCGAGGAAGACAAAAACAAAGTAGAGGAAAAAGATGGAAGGAGGTATTTATACCCTCTACCAAGGGCCAGATTCCTTTGATCCAACAAATGGGAGCCCAAGGGCCAAAAGAATTAAGGGGAATGTGACACGTGGAAACGGTTAAGACTAATCATGCATGACTTGAAAGGACAGTGCCTCAAATACACCTCAAAAAATAAAAAGGCGCCAAAAAACCATCTATTCAAAATCCAAGAAAAATTCAAAAAAAAAAAATCATTGCAACCATCAAAGACAAGATCCAAGGAAATCAAAATAAAACAAATAAATTTCCAAATAACCATAGGATTACAAGGAATCAGGGGCTGATGTATATAATCCAAATAACGGAGCACAGACTCCAAACCTTGGATGTCCCTTATCGGCCTCCATGGGGATCTCTAAAGACGTTAGCCATCACTTAAATGATCCCGAACAAGAATAGTCTGACACATAGCATCATATACCTGACATCCCACATGAGCTTCAGAAGAGCTGACACACGTCAGTAACTAAAGCTCTTGCATAAGAATAGCTTCATACACACTCAAACCAGGAATGATTACCCTTTAAGTTAAGATCACACTCAACCTACACCTTAAAACCCCTCTTAAATGAAGAGTTAAGGTAGATAACAATTGAAAAAGAATACTCTCTCTCTCTCTCTCTCTCTCAATTATTCTAGCCAATAACCTACAAAACTAACTTAGGCATTGGAGGTGGTTCGGCTGAGACTACGTCGATCCCTTACTCTTAAATTCTCTTGACAGAACCAAAGTCGTATTATTGTTGCATCTCAAGCATCGACCTCAAAACTCCATGAGTACCATTCGACATACTAGTCTGATTTACTGATTATTCCATTAGTCAGCCATACAATAAACACGTTATAGCCATTGATATCAATAACATCATAAACTAAAACTATGTATAAAAAGTAGTTCCAATTAAATATAAATTCGTGTTCAAAATGGCTCTCTCAATTTATCAGTTTAATTTTTCCACATCTTGAAAGATTTGATCAAGATGATAACTGAACAGGATGATCGATTTGATCTTATCAACAGATAAAATTAGTGCATATTGGAAAAGGGAGAAATTGTGGGAGACGATGCCGGAGTAGTTAATCAACGAGAAAATGAGATTTGGGTCTTACAATTTTAATGGGTGGTCAGAGTATCTCTAATTATGATTTAAATTTAAATTAACATTTGAGTAAAAAGTTGGATTTGATATAAAATAACTCTAATAAATAAACTCAAATTTAAAAAACGAGAAATTCAAATTTAAATGAGGGTAAATCCAAATTTTAAAAGAGTAAGAATAACCATTAAATCTTTAAAAGACGGTGAAATATCACCATTAAAGATTTGGGTGAGAATTTAAATTTCTCTTGATTTGAATAAAAAAATAAGTCTCTCTTGATTTAGTGTAAGTTTAAGACAAAGATTAGAACACATTTTTTGAGCTCTTTTATTTAAATTTAAATTCGAATCTAAATTTGAATTAAGGTTAGAGACAGCCTAATACTAAAATTATGAGGGGAATAGGGTGAGAGATTAATGAGTCTAAAATTATGTGGAAGAATATCACAAATCTCTCGTGGAAGAGGGATGATCTTTGGTTGTTCAACTGATGAAGAGTGAATTCAGATTGCTACTGGGACGACGTCGTATAAACTAACAGCACACCGTGCTGTTAGTCCCTAAATGCAGAGGAGCCGGACCCAGCCGCTCCCTAGTCCGAGTACAGATGACGTAGTATATTTTTTGCATTGGGTTATGATTGAATCATCACATGCTCAGTCATGCATAGGAGACAAAACGGTCTTCTTATAATTTTAATTTTTTTTTTGTCAAAATTTCTTATAATCTCAAGATCCGAAATCCGTGATCCGATGCAAAAAGAGATCATTTAGGTAATAGTTTCAGAATTTAAATAATATTTTCAGAGATTTATATAATATTCATGATCCAAATAGCATTACTCTTTTTGTTATCATATCAAAAAATTAAAAATTATCCGTACCTGAAGGCATTATATTATTTACAAAAAAAATAAAGTATGTCAAAAAGAGATATTGAGTGGACTTGTAATGACACTTTTTAAGAAATTAAACATTAAAAATAGTACATGCTTAACAAAACAAAATATTACAAACATCTTGGCAG